AAAAAAAAAAAAAAGGAACAGCAACCCCACTTTTGGAACACCCTGAATGCTCCTTCCTAATTTCAGCCCCTTTCATCTGGCCTCAGAGAAAGCCATCACACGGGACGCTGTGTTATCATTGTTTCTACTTAATTTTACTTTATTTTTTAAATGAACACATCCACGTATCTTCCTTTTTTCTTTCCATTTTGCCAAATATGTTGGAATCTCTACGCGATGTTTGCTTGCCAGTGTTTTTGAAAGCTTATGTGACACAGGACTGAAACATACGTGTTCCTCTCTGACGTCTGAGTTATCTTTTTAAGTTGAAATTCAGCTCCCATCCCATGAAATCAGCCCTTTCAAAGTGAGCAAGTTCGGTGACATTTAGGACATTTGTGATGTTGTGAAACCACCGCTGTATGTAGTTGCAAGGCATTCTCGTCACCCCCCCCCCAAAAAGCCCTGTACCCATTAGCAATAACTCCCTATTTCCCGCTCCCTGCAGCCCCTGGCCACTAATCAACTTTCTTTGGCCGTGAACTTGCCTTTTCCGGATATTTTATATAAATGGAATCTTACAGCATGTGGTCTTTTGGTCTCGCTTCTTCCACTTAGCATGATGTTTTCTTTTATATATGCATCTATCTCTATCTCTGTCTCTATCTCTATATCATCTATATCTATAGATAGATTTTTTTAGGGGCATCTGGGTGGCTCAGTTGGTTAAGTGTCTGACTCTTGATCTTGGCTCAGCTCATGACCTCATGGTGTGTGAGTCTGAGCCCTACATCAGTTTCTGCGCGGACACTGTGGAGCCTGCTTGGAGTTCTCTCTCCTCTCTCTCTCTCTCTCTCTCTCTGCCCCTATTTTAAAGTGTATTTATTTATTTTTGAGGGGGAGGGCAGAGAGAGAGAGAGGATCCCAAGCAGGCTCCACACCATCAGTATGCAGAGCTGGACTCAGGGCTTAAACCCACGAACCACGAGATCATGACCTGAGCTGAAGTCGGACATTCAACCAACTGAGCCCCCCAGGCGCCCCTCACGTTCCATTTTCAACAGGCACTTGAGTTGTCCACAGTTTTCAGTTTTCATGATAATGCCACTTGGAACATTCCCCTTGTCAACAGAAGAGCCTTTCTTTAAGGCACGTAGATTTTTCAGGGATCTTGCGACGATGCAGCTGTGACTCAGGAGGCGTGTGTGGCCTCTGGTTCTGCATTCTTTTTTTTGTTTTTTATGTTTATTTTTTTAAATTTTTTTTAACGTTTATTTATTTTTGAGACAGAGAGAGACACAGCACGAACGGGGGAGGGGCAGAGAGAGAGGGAGACACAGAATCGGAAGCAGGCTCCAGGCTCCGAGCCATCAGCCCAGAGCCCGATGCGGGGCTCGAACTCGCGGACCGCGAGATCGTGACCTGAGCTGAAGTCAGACGCTCAACCGACTGAGCCACCCAGGCGCCCCTATGTTTATTTTTTAGAGAGAGAGCATTGAGGTGCGCATGAGCGTGAGCAGGGGAGGAGCAGAGAGAGAGGAGGAAAGAGGATCTGAAGCTGGTTCTGTGCTGACAGCAGGGAGCCTGATAGGGGGCCTGAACTCATGACCATGAGATCATAACTTGAGCCAAAGTTGGAGGCGTAAGTGACAGAGCCATCCAGGCGCCCCATGGTTCTGCCTTTCTAACCAGCTCCTGGAGAGTGCCAGGGTACCCCGGGGGGATGGGACTGTAAATTTCATGCCCAGGAACAAAACTGTGGGATTTTAGGGACGTGTATTTCAATGTTACTAGATAAGGCTATTACGGAATAGCTCTGGAAGGCCACACAAGAAACTGGCAATAAATGTTGCCTTTGACAAGAGGAATTTGCTGCCTGCAGGTTAGTTAGCATGGAAGGGAGACTTCTCTGAGAACACCCCTTCCTCCTTTGTGACTTTTAGAATGCAAAATGTGGACACCCCACTCATCCTGAGACAACTGGGGGAAAGGAGGTGAAGAGGCAGGGGTCAAGTCCTGAAGAGCCTTGAAGGGTTTGGTATTCGAAGTTTGGGCACTTGAGCCAGGGGTGTTCAGCGGCTGGGGAAAGAGAGAGAAGTGTAGCGAAGGGCGTGTGCCTTGAAGAAGCCAGTGTCCATCAGTGGATGGACAGATAGACACAACGTGGCCCATCCATGCAATGAACATGCTTCTGCCATAGAAATGAGTCCAGCACTGGGGCGCCTGGGTGGCTCAGTCAGTTAAGCATCCAACTGTAGATTTCTGTTCAGCTCGTGACCTCACAGTTCGTGGGACCGAGCCCTGCAACGGGTTCTGTGCCAACAGCACGGGGATTGGGATTCTCTCTCTCCTTCTCTCTCCGCTCCTTGCCTGCTCTCACATGCGCTTGCTGGATTGCGCGTGCTCATTCTCTCTCAAAATAAATAAATTTTTAAAAAAGAAAGAAAGGGAGTATAACGCTGACAGGTGCTACAAGGCGGCGAACCTTGGAAACATCATACCGCAAGGCACACAAAAGCCCACAGTGGCATATGATTCTATTTGGATACAATGTCCAGAATAGACAGATCTGTGGAGACAGAAAGGTTAGGAGTTGCCAGGGGCTGGGGGACGGGAGCAACGGAGGAGGCAGCTGAGGGGTTGCTTTTTTTGGGGGTGATGAAAAAGTTCTGAAACTGATTGTGGTAATGGTCACCGCAGGACTCCTTTTTAAGTGGTATATACATGGAATTGCATGGTATGTGAATTATATCACAATAAAGCTGCTTAAAAACTACTTGTGAGGGGCGCCTGGGTGGCGCAGTCGGTTAAGCGTCCGACTTCAGCCAGGTCACGATCTCGCGGTCCGTGAGTTCGAGCCCCGCGTTGGGCTCTGGGCTGATGGCTCGGAGCCTGGGGCCTGTTTCCGATTCTGTGTCTCCCTCTCTCTCTGCCCCTCCCCCGTTCATGCTCTGTCTCTCTCTGTCCCAAAAATAAATAAACGTTGGAAAAAAAAAATTTAAAAACTACTTGTGGTTGGCGCGCCTGGGTGGCTCAGGTCATGAGCACGCGGTTCGTGAGTTCGAGCCCCGCGTCGGGCTCTGTGCTGACAGCTCAGAGGCTGCTTTGGATTCTGTGTCTCCCTCTCTCTCTGCCCTCCCCTGCTTGCGCGCGCGCGCTCTCTCTCTCTCAAAACTAAATAAACATAACACAC